CTTTGCGAGAATCTGAGAGGAAGAAGGTGAAAACAGACGATGAAGTCAGATGATCTCTGCTGCGATTTCAGAAAGACACTTTCCACCGTTTTGATCATATCTCTTGATTGGATGATTAAAATCACATTCGGAAAATTGGGGTGGATAGAGGACATCATTATCTACAACTTTCATGAAAGAAGTTTTGTCAAATTCGGAAGTTAAGTAGGCACGATCGTGCCCTCAAAGTCAGACACGATCGTGCCTGAAGAGAAAAGCACCGCGGAGTTACTGCCAGCCAGGCACGATCGTGCCTGGAGGGAGGCACGATCGTGCCTGGAGGGAGGCACGATCGTGCCTGCCCAAAATGCGCGTTTTTGCTCCGGAGGCACGATCGAAGGCACGATCGTGCCTAGCATCGTGTCTGGCTCCGAAAATCCTAATTCAGCTCAAATTTCACCCGATTTTTCTATTTAAACAGTCTGTAAACCCCTGTTTTCAAGGGGGAGCTTAGAGAGAGTGCCTAGCACGAATTTTAGAGGGCTTTTCAGCCTTATTTGTGTAGGCTGTCATTACTTTGAGGGTGTTGTGAATAATTGTGTCAAACAGTTTAGCTTGAGTACAAAGATGTAGTTTAGGGAAAAAATTTCATGGTTTAGATTGTATTTCCTGTGAATATCCCTTTAACTACGCGTGCATGTTAACTGTTTTGAATTCCGTGTGGTGATTATCGTAAGTCCCGTTGTTCAGTTTGCTTGAGGACAAGCAAAGGCTTAAGTGTGGGGGAATTTGATAAGTCCGTATTTTGACACGCATTTGATGTGTGTTGAGATCGGATTTTGATGGTTTCCCTAGCTTTAAGGTATTGCAAGTCTCAATTTTAGCTCAAGTTATGTTTACGGGGCATTGGTTCGAGTTTTGTGTTGTTTGTAGTCAAAATCAGGGAATTTGAGCCCGGCACCGGCACTTGAGGAACAATCGGGATGATTTTAGAAGCATTTGAGAATGATTTGATAGCTTTGGAGGTCACCGGAAGATTCACGATGAAGATTTGAAGGAAAAAGAGCTCTAGGATTGGCTTCGGGATCAAAAGAAGATGAATGAAGCTTGAAAACGACGATCAGAATGACCTTCTGTCAATCGTTCAAGCTTATCTCTTTGTAGGAACAACTAATGGACACCATTAATGTTGCATAGGAAAGCCAACTTCAAGGGCTACAAATCATATGAAGACACCTTTGCGAGAATCTGAGAGGAAGAAGGTGAAAACAGACGATGAAGTCAGATGATCTCTGCTGCGATTTCAGAAAGACACTTTCCACCGTTTTGATCATATCTCTTGATTGGATTATTCAAATCACATTCGGAAAATTGAGGTGGATAGAGGACTTCATTATCTACAACTTTCATGAAGGAAGTTTTGTCAAATTCGGAAGTTAAGTAGGCACGATCGTGCCCTCAAAGTCAGACACGATCGTGCCTGAAGAGAAAAGCACCGCGGAGTTACTGCCAGCCAGGCACGATCGTGCCTGGAGGGAGGCACGATCGTGCCTGCCCAAAATGCGCGTTTTTGCTCCGGAGGCACGATCGAAGGCATGATCGTGCCTGGCATCGTGTCTGGCTCCGAAAATCCTAATTCAGCTCAAATTTCACCCGAATTTTCTATTTAAACAGCCTGTAAACCCCCGTTTTCAAGGGGGAGCTTAGAGAGAGTGCCTTGCACGAATTTTAGTGGGCTTTTCGGCCTTGTTCATCAATCTCTTGGTATTCTTTGTAAGTTCCATCTTTTTAATTAATGACAATTAATTCTATTCTTCCCAATTCTATTGATTATTCAATTATGAATTGTGAGTAGTTTAATTAGGGATTGTGATTGATGAAGGGGTTGATCATGATGTATGGCTAGTTTCTTGATGAATTAATTGCATGAATACCGTTTAATTTGTGTTTGAATAATTTAACTGATATCTTTTGTAACCTAGAATCGCGACTAGAATTACATTTGCATGTAGAATAAATTAAGAGAGATCTAATTTGTTCTAGGACACATTCACACACACTTAATTGTTCGCTAAGAGATTAGTAGCGATTAAGGGGCCGTAAGCTCGCTCGTCTTGGCAATAATTTAGGATCCTGTCGCATGAGAGATCAGCCTGGTCCCCTAAATTATTGTACTCTACGCCGCGAGAGCGGTAAGAACTTAGTAATGATTAGCTAGGCTCAATTAAATTAATTTCATGTAATTAGGCCTGATCTGCCAGAAATCCGGTTACCCCGTAATCGATCCCTGTTCCCTTCGTCATTAATTAGAAAGAACCCCCTAGTTTAATCGTTTTATTCGCATTAGTTTAATTTTCCAACAAATCAATCTCGCACGACCCATTTATTTTATTTTCTTTTTAATCGCTGAATTTAGTTAATTCTTAATTCCCTTTTGTCCGTCCCTGTGGAGACGATACTCGTACTTACACCACTATATTACAATCTTTTTAAGTGCGAGAAAACTCACATCAATTCACGATGAAGATTTGAAGGAAAAAGAGCTCTAGGATTGGCTACGGGGTCAAAAGAAGATGAATGAAGCCTGAAAACGACGATCAGGATGACCTTCTGTCAATCGTTCAAGCATATCTATTTGTAGAAACATCCAATGTACACGATTCAAGTTCCATATGAAATCTAACTTCAAGGGCTACAAATTATATGAAGACACCTTTGCGAGAATCTGAGAGGAACAAGGTGAAAACAGACGATGAAGTCAGATGATCTCTGCTGCGATTTCAGAAAGACACCTTCCACCGTTTTGATCATATCTCTTGATTGGATTATTCAAATCACATTCCGCAACTTGGGGTGGATAGAAGACTTCATTATCTACAACTTTCATGAAGGAAGCATTTCCAAATTCGGAAGTTAAGTAGGCAAGATCGTGCCCTCAAAGTCAGGCACGATCGTGCGTGAAGAGAAAGCACCGCGGAGTTACTGCCAGCCAGACACGATCGTGCCTGGAGGGAGGCACGATCGTGCCTCCCCAAAATGTGCGTTTTTGCTCCGGAGGCACGATCGTGCCTGGCTCCGAAAATCCTAATTTAGCTCAAATTTCACCCGATTTTTCTATTGAAACAGCTTGTAAACCCCCGTTTTCAAGTGGGAGCTTAGAGAGAGTGCCTAGCACGAAATTTAGAGGGCTTTTCAGCCTTGTTCATCAATCTTTTGGGATTCTTTGTAAGTTCCACCTTTTTAATTAATGACAATTAATTCTTTTTATTCCAATTCTATTGATTCTTCAATTATGAATTGTGAGTAGTTTTAATTAGGGATTTGGGATTGATGAAGGGGTTGATAATGATGTATGACTAGATTCTTGTTGGGTTAATTGCATGAATGCCGTTCAATTTGTGTTTGAATAATTTAATTGATATCTCTTGTAACCTAGAACGGCCGCCAGAATTACAATTGCTTGTAGAATAAGTTAAGAGAGATCTAATTTATTCTAGGACACATTCACACACACTTAATCGTTCGCTAAGAGATTAGTAGCGATTAAGGGGCCGTAAGCTCGCTCGTCTTGGCAATAATTTAGGATCCTGTCGAATGAGAGATCAGCCTGGTCCCCTAAATTATTGTACTCTACGCCGCGAGAGCGGTAAGAACTTAGTAATGATCGATTAGATAGGCTCAATTAAATTAATTTCATGTAATTAAGCCTGATCTGCCAGAAATCTAGTTACCCCGGAATCAATTCCTGTTCCCTTCGTCATTAATTAGAAAGAACCCCCTAGTTTAATCGTTTTATTCGCATTAGTTTAATTTTCCAACCAATCAATCTCCCACGACGCTTTTATTTTATTTTCTTTTTAATCGCTGAATTTAATTAATTTTTGATTCCCTTTGGAGACGATACTCGTACTTACACAACTATATTACAATCTTTTTAAGTGCGAGAAAACACACATCAGCCGCGAACACTGCTAAAAGCTATAAGAATGTTATAATGCTAAGGCAGGTAAGTTGCCAACCCTTTACAATGAAATAAATGTCGCTATTTATACTACCAAGGGGCAGGTTGGTATGCTGACGTGGAGAGCTGTGGATGGCTAGCGTTCCAACCACCAAATCTTCAGCATTAAATGTGCTTCCTGCCAGAATCTTGATTTCCCGCCCAGCCTTTGGGGATGAGCGTCCCCGTGAATCCCAGGCCTTGGTGTTGATGGTGCCATCAACGATGCGACGCCGTACGTCTTGTGGCTGTTGGTGTAGGAGTGTGCTATTGGCGACACTTGTTTGGACTCCCCCTTGGTGATGCAAGCAAGGGTGGTGGTCCGTGAGTCCCCTATCTGCTAGAGCAGGAGACAAACCGGTTACCTTTGGGGCTAGAACCTCTTAGGCTCCTTGGAGAATACATTCGTTTGTGGCGCCTTGGGCCCTGATGGATAACCACCATTGGTTGATCAAAGACGTTCGTTTGGGTCTCTTCCCCGTTGGGCCTAGACGTTCGTCGGAGGAGGGGGTAATGGACCAATTTCCAGTATTGGGCCATTAACCCAACACCTATATTCAAAATGCTTTTTATTTTTACATATGCAATATTTATGTCTTATGAGAGTAATAAAAAATCACGAGTTTTGATATAATTTTTATAAAAATCGAATTACAAATAAAAAAGTTATATCTATGTAAAAAATAGAGATTTTTTTAATGTTGGGGTCCAATGAAATGATTCCTAAATTATTGGTTGCATAGTTGTGTAAATTCCCCAACATACGTAGCATTAGCTTAGCACAAAATTGATGTGATATCAATTCTAATCTAACTTAAATCCTAATGTAACACACTATAATTAACTAATACAGAGTACTACATATACTAAATTTGCTTAGATGATGATACATGACAAAATTTTCTATAATTGTATCTTTCAAATGATGCTTAGATGATTCACATATACATTATCATACTCCGTATTCCATAATAAGTAGTATATTTAATTCTAATCCATTCTTACTTTATTTTGGCTACTCTTAATATAACACCATACGGAACACAGCCTTATACAAGGTCGTGCACAACAAGATATTTTCTGCTAAAAACTGTCAAATTAACGAGGTACCTAAATGAGTCGATCTCCAGAGGTCAGTTCTTTCTATCTTCATCCCCTGTTTCTTCTCAAAGCCATGCTAATCACAACCTCCGGTAGATTTTTGTTCGGGAACTTGAATTTGAAATATTTTTCTTAGGATGCACGTATTAAATTTGTATTTGATCTGTTGAATCTTTGTAACAAGTCATTCAAGAACAGTAAGTTCTCAGTTGTTTATCATTAAGAATGAATTGTAAATTATATCTATTTTATGTCTGAGCTGATTTTATCATTGACGAAATGGAGTTGTTTCTGGCATATCAATTCTGATTTCATTATTTCAAACCACATTCAATTGAAGAAAGTTTGTCCCAACTAACTTCCTCTATATGAAGGTCTCAGTTTTATTACATCATTCGGGTTTTGTTGAGTTTCACCCTGCATATTCAGTTAAATTTTTGTTATAATCAGATGATAGAGGGGACAGCAGAGAATTTATCAGTTGCTGTTGAATCTAATTGTGATCCACCTGACCATGATTCTTTACTGTCTCGAAAATCAGATGGTGGGGATACGTTAACAGATTACTCGTCGTGTGAATCAGAGTATGAGAGGTACTGCAGTGCCAATTCAGCCACGGGGACTCCTACTGTGTATAGCTCACTAGTGACAACATCATTTCTTGAGTTCCCACATAGCTTCAAAATAGGAGATGAACATCTTAATGGTTGGAATAATGGAAGTTACAGGAAGTTACCCGAATCTCGCTATCCCGGTCATTATTTGCACGAAAATGAATTTTGTTATCAAAAGATTGAAGCAGAAAAGGAATTGGTGGAGGCCAAGGGTGAAACAGATTTATATGAAAATGCAGATTTATTTTTGATGCACGATGATAGTTCAATAGAACGTCTTGACATATGTGCGGGATCGGGGGTAAAATTTGAGGATTTACCTGTGAGAAATGCGGAAGAAGAAGAAAAGTCTCACATCCACGGTTCTGAAGAGGACATGAACATGGTTGTTGTTGTAAAAGAAGTTAAAAATTCAGGGTCATCTAGAAACAGCCATTCAGAAGATGATTATTCAATATTTGGAGGGGAGACAGACGCAGAGGACAAGATTGAGTTATATTATAGTAGTAATTTACCACCTTTGAGCCAAAAGCATAGTGATCATGACAAGAAGTTTTGTATGAATTCTTCTATAGCTTTTGGCTCTGATGATTGGGATGATTTCGTCCAAGAAACAAAAAGTGTTGTTTTACTGGCTCAAGATGATTTTCAGGCTGATAGCAATCAGAACTTTGAAGTTAAAAGTGGTTGTTTGCCCAATGCTTCTAAGATGCCTATAAAGTTTTCGGGTGTAAGTTCAAAAGTGCAACAAGATGAGGCAAACAGAGTGCTTGTAACCAATAAACCGAAGCATACTAGTCCTCTGGAGCATTCAGATCTGTTAAAAAATTGTAAGGGAGAGCATCCAAAGGTGTTGCATACTCAAAACAATCAGAGTTATGTTGTTGATGCATTTTCCAAGTTCCTTAAGGAGTCTTCTGTTCAGAATGTATTGCGTAAAAACAGAGATGGGATTTCGGGCCAGAGTCATCAATGTGATATTAGTGAGGAAGAAATTCAGACTAATTCTTCTAGCATGGATTCAAAAATAAAAACCTTGTATGTGGAACCACATTTGGTTTCTGTTTCAGGAGAGCATTCTGAAGAAGCAAAGGTTAGATTATTTCTGAAAACACAGTATTTACATCCCCAGTAACTTGACGATTGTTACCATATTTTAATCAAAAGATAATAACAAATTCTCCTCTTCTACAGGCACCATATTTAGAATGTTTTTACTTGGACTGGTTTTAGCCCTAGACCAAAAAAGACCAAACTAGACTTAAATAAACTAGATCAGACTTCGACAGTTAAAATACAATAAGGCCAGACATATACCAGGCCAGTTCAGACCAGACTAGACCATAAAATTCCAATCCAAGTAAAAACATCCTTACTTGAAGTTCATTTTGCATCAGTTGCTTTCAATTTTGTGAAGAGAACATCTTCATAACATTTTTGTTATCCTTTTCTCGTATTATAGTAACACCATTTACAAGATCATTTTAAAATAAATGTTCAGCAGAGTTCAATAATCATAAAATATAGTTTACTTATACTCTAGATACCTTTGATCGATCAGCGACACTTACATCAAAATAAATTTTTATTACCGACTACATGATCAAATGAATGTGGATCGCTTGCACATATAAATTTAGGTAGGTTATGCATCTAATGAGGACTCTTGAATGAGCTTGTTGGATGCTGTATACTTTTAGTGTGTGCTATCATACTTGAATTGAGCTAGCTTGTGAGTTCTAATTTAACTTAATTTAAGTTCTAGGGTAACATCAATCATGCATTTGTCATGGGTAATATTTTGTTTCAAGTACTCAAGGCCTTTAGGGTGGTTGTCCTTGTGGCCTTTTTCTCATTCCGCAGAGAATGATGGTTGAAGCTGGCTGTTATATACACCTAATCAGGAATTATCTGTTGAAAATTCTTAATTTAGAATAGTATCACTATTCGTGGTGGTCCTGGTTCAACCATATTGGCTGGTTTATACTAAACACCATATTGTGTGGTAGATGAACACTGTGAAGTTTCCTATATGTTCTGAAGTACGCACAGGAATTGTTTGTCTTTTCAAAATCTAACATGTCTTAGGGGGATCTTATTTTTCTTTTATTTTCTGTCCTAAATATCTTATAAGCTTCTAGCTTCTGTAATGACTCTTACTTTATATTCATTCACAGACAATGAACCTTGACCTAAATGGATTGTACAGTGAGATTGTTCATGATATGGAAGAAATATTACTTGATTCTGGTGAACCTTCTGGATTTGCTCTAGGAAACAAGATATATCAGTCTTATATACCTCTCCTTTCAAGAGATGGTGGTACTACTGCTTCAATTTGTAGCAGGGATGACGCTTCTCCTATTAATCAGCACCCTTGGAGGATTAGGGGAATAGAAGTCATCGGGGCAAGGCAGAGAAAGGGGAATGTTTCTCTCAGTGAGCGTATTCTTGGAATAAAAGAACACACCCTTTACAAAATAAGGGTTTGGAGTGGAGAGGAAAATTGGGATGTTGAGAGGCGGTTCCGTGATTTTTCTACCCTTTACCACCATCTGAAGAAGGCATTTGCAGATCAAGGGTGGGTTCTTCCTCCTCCGTGGTCCTCCATTGAACGAGAATCAATAAAGCTTTTTTGTAGTGCTTCCCCAGATGTCATTGCTGAGAGAAGTGTTCTCATACAGGAGTGTTTACAATCGACTCTTCACTCAAGGTTTCCTTCTGCTTCCCTAAATCCTCTGTTTGGTTTCTTATCCCCAGCACATGATATTCCTAATCCGCTCAAATCTGATTCAAATATTACTTTTGGGAAAACTATATCGCTGATTGTTCAAAACAGACCGTTTAAATCTGTGAAACAATTGTTAGATGAACAGCATCATAGTTGTGCGGGCTGCTACATAAACTTTGGTGGTGGAAAGAGTAGGGTAGAGGAATTTGTACAGACGCTAGGGTGGGGCCGGCCTCGTCTGTGTGAGTACAGTGGCCAGCTGTACTGCTCTTCATGCCACAGAAATGAGACTGCTGTCTTACCAGCAAGAGTTCTACATTACTGGGATTTCAGCTATTATTCAGTTTCTCAGATGGCTAAATCTTATCTGGAGTCTATATATAGTCAGGTAATATATAAAGAAAGCTTCCCTAAACTTATTTTTTAAAAAAGTACAATCTGAGCACTGCATTCTTGTGGTGCGAAAAAATGCATCCTTATATGTTGGTAAACAAAACAACTAAACAAGTGTTCAGAAATTGCAGTCTAATATTGCCCCTCATTCAAAGCGAAAACTGCAGTCTCTTACATAAGCAAAAGTTCAGAAATTGCAGTCTGATGGTGTCCAATCTGAAGATGATGTGCCAAGGTAGTCAAAGTCGCGAGGCGCAGTCAAGGCAATAGGATATTTCCAGTGCCCGAGGCACAAGGCACAAAAAAGTGCTCGCCTGACTCATGTGATCATGTCAGGCACATTGCTTAGAAAATATCACACATACTATTCCGCAATTATCAAACATGATGTATATAGCATCATATTGAAGCAACTGCGTTAAAAAGTCATGTTTCTCACAAATAAAGTCATGATTCACAAAAGTAAAACAACAAAATTCAGAATTCATAACTTAAAGTCTTAAACAATAAAAATGAAAAATAAAACATAATTAGATTTTAGATTCTAGCCCAATTCCCCATTTTCTGCAGGACTAGCCGTCATTAAAAGACGAGTCTGTTTCTTCTCCATTTTCAGATTTATATTCTCCTATATCCTCTTCAATTTCTCTATCACTTTCCTCATCCACTATTTGCACTAGGAATTGTGGACTGCCTCCTAGTGCTGAACTACTGCCAGCTTCTGCGGTTGATGTGGAGGAGGTAGGGAACAGGTAACGTGAGTAGAGCAGAGCAGGTTTACGTTGAGTTGTTTAGCATAGGTTTACATTGTTTTGACCATATTTAGATGGGCTTCATTAAAAATATGGTGTTCTTATTTGACCACACGTCTGAACCTTTATTATTTGACTTAAATAAACATCTTCCCCTGTCAGACACGAATAGTGAGCGCCTTTTATCGTTTCAGTGCTTCAACGCTTTTGCGCCTTAGCTGTGCCTGATACAGGAAGCTGTGCCTGGCCAATCTTCAGTCGCTCAGGCTTATGTGCGCTACGCCTGGCATGTGCACTACTTTTGGGGTACGTTTGGAACCCGGAAAGTGCTTAAGGAAATAAAATAGGGAGTGTAAATAGAGATGAATACTAGAAGAAAAGAAATTATGAGGGAAATTAAAAACAGGTTCCAACTCAAAAATAAAATATTAGATATTTAGTTTTTTTTTAAAAAAAGTAAATATTAGATATTTAGTTAAACTCATTTATTTATTACTATCATATTATATAAGAATAAGAAATCTCTCTCTTTATATGTATAGGTTTAAGTTCAAATAAAAAGAGCGCTTCCCGTACAAAATGCACATGGATGCGCTTATACGCGTGCATAATGCTGCACCTTCATGTTCAAAGCAATGCATATTTTGCAGTGACGAAGATACACGAGTTCACTTTTGCTTGTCCATAGTGCAGCTTCACGTTCAAACTAATGCCTATTTTGTGGTGATAGTTTTCTTTAATTTATTTACCAAAATGCAACCACATTTTGTGGCCCTTAGATCTTCAACCCAATGCTCTTTATTCATTTGAGTTTTGCATGAGAAGACGACTTTTTATTTGAACCAAAATATGTGTATATATACATATATTTTGGATCAAATAAAAAGAATTCTTAAAGTGCCAACAATGCACCAAACTAGGTTAAAAACGCGGTGGCATTTTTGTAAATAAGGGAACGTTTTTGCCACCACGAACAAGTGCAGTGGAACCTAAAAGTGTAGTGTAGCGAAGTAAAAGTGAAAATTTCACACTTTTCACGTTAAACACTCTTTTTATTTGAAATGCACCCTATATATTTGTGTATATATATTAGCGTTCATATCAGGCCTCCATTTTTGACCGAAAATGAAATGTTTAATCTAATTTTTTTATTCATTAGTATCAACAATTAGTTTCAACCGTTATATCTTAATTTTGTTCGAAAGTGGATCCTTCAACCTCAGTTTTCACCTCTAACTATTATCTAAAAATTTAATATTAATTTATCATAAATTTCGAAGCTCAGAATATTTTAAGTTTTTTTTGATAATCTAATGATTGAAACTAATAGTTCATTCTAATGAATAAAAAATTTGGATCGTTCGTTTGCAGCCAAAAATGAAGTTGGCATGACGAAATTCCCATCAGGCCAGCCTGGTATGAACGTTACTATATATATGTGTGTTAATTCAATTCTCAACGACAATTGTACAAAATAATCAGGAATAGAGAAGAGCGCCTAATTAATTAATACAATTAACACACAAGTACAAAGATAATAAATTAAATCGACCACTATAAAATATGTTTTAGAAATATGTATGTTTTGGATCAAATAAAAAGAGACATTCCCATGCAAAATGATAATAAATCGTGTGCATTCAATTTCAGATCTAATGGTTCAAAATAATCCAACAATGCACTAGAATTTGATAAACAACGCGGTGGCAATTTCGTAAATAAACCAAAGTTTTTTGCGATCGCGAAAAGTACAATAGAAACATGCAATAGTGCATCACATTGAAACATGCAATAGTGCATCGCATTGACCAGAAAACGTATTGAAGAACTAAACTTGATTATCTAGCCCATTGATTTTTTGAATAAGTAGAAAAACCCAATTAAGATATAAACCACAATAGATGGTCCATGTTCTAGAATAACATTCTAGGTAATTCCTCTTGAATTATCTAGATAGTAGAAAAGTGTAGAATGTAGATATTTCTAAGGAAAATTCTAGAGAATCATTGAGCCATTAGATTTGATTTGTCTTGGCATCATCCTAGCCATTAATTGAGGAGCCTTAGTATAAAATGGGGGTGTTTCTAGCTTATTTTGTATCAAGTAAAACTTGAGAAATCTCTTGTAGCAATAAAAATTATCTTTATAAAACTCTCTTTTCCAAAATATTCTACTACTACTACTACTACTCCTGATAAGAACAGAAAAATAAAGATCAACGGGGTGAACCGTTGCCTAGATAATCAACCGTAAATAAATACCGTTGCCCAGAGCCAAAAGGCTAAACCAACTTTTATTCTCAGATAATAAGAATGAACCCTGGCGAGGGGTATAAATAGTCTTCTACAAGCAACCCTAATCAAGCACAAATTAATTAAATCCTAATTAGGCCCATACTACTCTACTAAGTACTCTACTAATAAAAGGCCCAAACCAAAACATAACATTAACTTAAAATAATAATAATAAATAATTATAAAGACAGCCCGTAACTGGCCCACGGAAGTGGGCCCAAGCCCGGTCCCGCCCCATGCTCTTCCCGCTTCATATCAATCCATCCCCCTTAAAATAACCTTGTCCTCAAGGTTGAAAACTCGCATATCGGGGACTGAAATTTCCAGACATAGTATAGACTGGAAAATATCCTTCTTCTCTTTCCGGAACCCTCTCCTGACCGGTTATTTCACAGAATTCATGATGCTTGAGGTCCAACTCTTCATCCTCCTCAGCTATCATTACCCGCAGTTGCTTAAAGGGACAGTCATGTGTTGGTGTAAATGGTTTCTTGCACCTAAAGCATAATCCTTTCGCCCGCAGTTCTGCAAACTCTTTCGGCGGTAGTCGAGTGAATTGAGAGCGTGTTATAGGCTGCCCAGACAGCCCTGACTTCGTCTCCGGAGGCTGTCCACTATCTTTCGCAAAGCTGCCATTCGCTCCTTGTATGCTGCCACCACTGGCAGTCAACGGAGGACTCGTGATTGGCATTAAAAAGCTGCTAGAACGTACCCCGGAAGGAGTATAATTCGGGCTGCCACTTTTTCCATTCTGGACGGTCAGATTGTACTCCACATCGCGAGCTAATTCCATGGCCTCTTCCAAACTATTAGGTCGAAATAAGCGCAACGAGCTTCGGATGGATTCTTTCAGTCCATTCATGTAGTATCCCAAATAGTGATCGTCGGTCAATCCCAAATCCCAGAACTTGGCTGGCCAGTTGAACAAACAAGGTATTGTATTCCTCCACCAATCCAATTTGTTTGACGCACGACAACCGTTCAAACCTGTTTCCCTCATATCGGGAATCAAATCTGGCCACCAGGGCTTGCTTAAATTCCTCCCAGGACATGTCGGGTTTGCGCGCCTTCAACCGCCACCCAATAGAGGGCAGCCCCTTCCATAGAAACCCTAGCCGCTGCAATTTGCCTGTCCGGTGCGGTCCTGTTGAGCTCGAACTGCTGCTCCACTCTTGCCAGCCACCCAATCGGGTCTTTGCCGTCGAACGAGGGAAGTAGCGTCGTGGATGCGCTGCGCGATCCGCCATCATCGGGGAAGACAGTCGTGACGGGGGCGGAGGAGTCGCTCTCGACAGTCACACTTTGAGACTTCTCTGGCGGCACCATGGCCTTCACGATCGCTGCCAGGGAGGCTGCGATTTCCGCAAGCTGGATGGCCTGTTCTTCGAGTTTCTGAGCTTGTAAATCAAGTTTCTCTCCTTGCGAGTCAAGTTTCTGCCCTTGCGCGTCAAGTTTCTGTCCTTGTGCGTCAAGCTTTTGATTGATCAGGGCCTGTTCGGCCTCCAATTCTATCAGTCGTTCGTTCTGAGATCTTGTCATTCCGGCGGGACGGGATCCGGCAGGTCGGACCAATTGATAAGAACAGAAAAATAAAGATCAACGGGGTGAACCGTTGCCTAGATAATCAACGATAAATAAATACCGTTGCCCAGAGCCAAAAGGCTAAACCAACTTTTATTCTCAGATAATAAGAATGAACCCTGGCGAGGGGTATAAATAGTCTTCTACAAGCAACCCTAATCAAGCCCAAATTAATTAAATCCTAATTAGGCCCATACTACTCTACTAAGTACTCTACTAATAAAAGGCCCAAACCAAAACATAACATTAACTTAAAATAATAATAATAAATAATTATAAAGACAGCCCGTAACTGGCCCACGGAAGTGGGCCCAAGCCCGGTCCCGCCCCATGCTCTTCCCGCTTCATATCACCTCCCCAATAATTTT